TGTTTAATTAATAATTTTTAAGCAAAAATGCTACAATGGGTAATTTTTTTGGTATGCCACTTTTCAAAAATACCACAATAGGTAGTTTATTTACAAAAATACTACTAATTATGAACTTTTAAAGCCTAAATCTCAAAATTCTAAATACTAAAAAATTTTTTGACCCTTAACTAACCCTAAACCCTAATACAATATAGCTAACCCAAACATAAATAGTATAATCAATAAATAATTTTTAAAAAATTGTATTTTTGCAAAGATTTTGAATGTGTAGCATTTTTTAAAAGTGTGACTTCAAAAGTGGTATTTCTCAAAATTACTTATAAAAATTTTGCAACATTCCGCAAGATTCAGTTATTACCATTTGAATTCAACATTATTCCGCTTGATTTCGTAAAAAATGATCAAAAATTCCGTAAGATTCCACAATTCCGCGGTTATTTAGACCATTTATGAGGAAATTGTCAACATTTTTGTTTCTTACCATCATTAGTGTAATTAGTTGCAAACGTGGAATTTGTTTTTTGTTTTTACTCCCACATAACACGAACGGTGCATGCTCCAACAAGTAAGAATCCACTCAAAACCTTTTAAATAAATATATAAATTATACCTAATAATAATATATGTTTATATCGCTTTCATATTGACAAGTTCAACGTCAATCAAACAAGTTGGGTCAATTGTTCACTACCGTTTCTGTTAAGTTCAAACTAGCTGATTTTTATTAAAGAGTCCTCCTATATGACTTTTTATTTGGTTTTAAATGGAAACTAAAGATTTATTGGATTATGCATTAATGTTTTTGAGTATATAAACACCTAATTACTTTTGAAAGCCTTCGGTATGTTTTATTGTAGAACTTAAAATCTTTTATGGCATAATCATATCCATTGAAATTAGGTTAATTAGTTAGGTTTTGAATTATAGTTTTTTTTTTTTGGTTATTCAACCCAATTTTCCAAGACCAATTTGTTTAAAAAGAAAAAAAGGTTTATAATAAGAGAAATAATCAAACTCTCCACGTTATTCAACCAACGAAATATTTTGCAGTATTGATGATCCAACTATTGAAGACATTTGCAGTTTCAAATTTAAGCATTTATGTTTTAAAATCATATTCATACCCGATTGTGATTGTAATCACATGTATTGCTGCTTATATCATATATACAGTATGTTCGCTTGTATTGTGGATCATAAATTGCCATTTCTAAAAATTCAAAATAATGAATACAATCCACCACGATATTGTAACAAAAAAATACAATTGTTTTATAAAAATATGATTTGTTATGGCTGAAAAAGTAAGATTCATAAAAGTCTGAGGCAAATTAAATAATAGTGATAATTAAAAGCACTAAATAAAAAAATATTAACAAGGCAAATATAGGATTCTTTCACACGAACTTG